TTATGAAAAATTCCTTCTTCCTCACATATCTTGCCTCAGTATGTATTGGGTTACTTACTAAAACTGAGGCATGTATTACTGAAATCAAAGCCATAATGTCAATATCTTCAAAGTACAAGTATACAGCTCCAATATTTAGCATTTAAATAGTTATGTTTCCCAGAAATTTCTGGAGTATTTTAGCTAAAGGTAACCTTGTCAAAATTCAGCATGGTGTCTACTTTTCAGAAGAGAAGATGGCATACTGCTGTAATATATAGACTAAACTATCCTAGGTTTTTAATTCCTCAGAACAAGGAACCATCTTATTTCTAATATGTGTTGAAGAGGAGTGCTAACATATTGAACAAGAGGTTAAAAAAGATAAGAAAAATAAATATATTTTGGTTTCATTTACTATGGGAAAACAGCTGAATATGGTCCAAACATCAAATGCCCAAGTTGTTTCTGAAATCTGTATTTTTCCCATACATTTAACTAACTATCTCAAAAGACCCTAACAGATCAAGATAAGTTGTCAACTCATAAGGAATATTCTGATTATTTTAAGGCATAGTTTTGACCATCTTCCCATCTCTGAACAGTGTTTATCTTATTTTAATACAGAAAATACAGTAGATCCCATTGTTCCAAATGTATTCTTTCTCAACCTGGTGCCCTTTAGATTTTGGCAACTGTAGTCCAATACATCTGGAGAGTTCTAGATTGAGAAAATCTGCTTATGTCCACAGATGGAGGGTGATCGATCGACCTACCTACCTACCTACCTACCCATCCATCCATCCATCCATACACACACACACACATACTAAGGGCCAGTAGCTAGCAAAATTCTTGCTCTCAATAAAGGGTTAAGCTCCAGTTAATGAACTATAAAGGGGTTGAATCAATATATGAAATTAATCTCTAATATATACTACCTCTTGGGATGTCTTGGCTAAAGCCTTCAAGACTGTCCTAATCTATCATTCTTTTCTTGCCAGTTATACATTCCCCCTTCCGTATGTCCTCAGCCTCTCATCTTTATACTTTCTT